CACATTCCCCACAAAATATGCTAAGTGATCCGCATATATATTTACACACTGAGTTATTATTTGGTTCTAATTATTAGACAGAAAGAATGGGTTTTGGGTGAATCATGGAGCCACCAAAACAAGATTTCTTAGAACTGAAGGGCAGCCTTTAACATACAGTGGCAAAATTGTACGACACAGACGATAGAGCTGCTCGCTCCGTGCTGACAGACTTAGCAGCCATACAACTGCGTTCCTCCTTAAAAGTAATCTGTTAAAACTGCTGCTAATTTTATAACAGAAAAATCATTCTTACTTATCAAATAAATAACTTAAGAGTTTATGATGCAGAAAGGAAAGATACAACAATTCTGCTCCCCCCAGGATCCCATCGGGGCCGTGGGCTTCTGGACTTGTAAGGACCAGAATTTGTTCACTGTAGAAGACACACACACACTCTCCTATCAAAAACAGGCAATGGGCAAAACTGTGTTTGAGAATGAAAGTTTCTCAGTGAGTTGGGTAACTCCACCCAGGGAATGTCAAGCCTTTTCATTGTTAGAGCTTTCCTTCCTCTTTTACCAAAACTGCTTGGGGAGACATATAATGCATGACAGAAACATGACTGCTTCTCCTGAAAACATCCTGCTCAGCAAATTCTTCCATGTAAATATTTAAAAAATTTCCCTTTTGAGTCTTGGTCTGATAATATCTTCCTGTGTATCATCTCGAGTAAACTGAATTCACTGCATGGGAGCACAAAAGGTGCACAGACATCGAGGCGCTCCGGTAACGGCGGGCCTGGCGTTACCTGACACGGTAAAACATAAAGGCGCCAGCCAGTAACGCTGCGGGGGGAAGCGTCAGCCAGACATGACGGGAGGGACAACCTGTAGCACAGGAGATTTAGATGATACTAAAAGCAGATCACGGGGCAGGCAGTGTGAGGGCAGAGTGGGCTAAGACTGAGGAAACACAGGAAGATGGTTCCTCCCTCGGAGTCCCAGCAGAAACTGGTGTCACAACCAGCGCATCTGTGGAAGATACCAAGTGGCGCAGATAGCTACAGACGCCAAAGAAGAGAGGCTGTGGGTGAAGAGGAACCTCTTTCTGCATAGTAACTGGTATTACAAAGCCCTAGTCTCTGGCAGGGTGTTGTCTCATGAGATAAATGCAAAGGTGATGGTAACAGTGGAAAATGGGGGTGGAGGTGAAGTGATGCCAGCGAGTATTAATAATTTCAAATTCTTACTGCCTAGGGATCTGGACACTTTTAGTTAAAGGTATTGCTTATATCTGAGAAGTAAAATGTCCTTCATCACAGTTATGTTTTTTTCTGTTAATTCCTTCATGAGATTAATGACCTCCCTTTTACTTGCCACAGTATAAATCAACACCTGGTAATAGGTATTATGCATGGGTAGAAGTAATTGCAAATAAAAGGAAAACTTTCGTGCCAAGAGAATTTGAAATGATGTACTGACAGTGACGAATGTGAAACTGCTGAGACTGATCCACAATCCTACGAGAATAACTGAGAGTGCAAAGTCAAACAAACTTCATCAACGTAAGTGATGAATAAATTAGGAGAAATTTGCTACCTAAAAAAAATGCAGCAGTACCTTACATGTGATTATACAAATATACATAAATGCTCCTATTTTAGGAATACATGCTGCAACATGAGAAATGCCAGCTCCTGATGGCCTGTGCCCATCAGGAGAAATCATTTGACATAACAATAGCTATAAAATAAATGCGGGTCAAAAGCGTACATCTTTGATGAAGACATGCTAGCTACACACATGCAACGGACCAGTCCCTGCACAGAACAATACAGCCCTCACACGACTCCGTTAAGACTACCCCCACGGTGTATGCCCACTGCTTGCCCCTGCAGGCAACCTTCTCATTTAGTTTGCTGTTACTTTTTAACATATTTTACTCTTACCTATTTTGGTTTCTGTTACTAAGCTCAGCTTTCAATATAGCACCTCGATTATTCTAAGTATCTCTAGCTCATTTTGTACTTCATTTAGCTTCGCTATTTTCTTTGTTTCACTGTTTTTTGAACATACCAGCGATTAAACGCGAGTTGCCTATTGTAGACTTCAGAGCTGATAACTACTGCAGCACCTGTGCTTGGTAGGAGGGGCAGTGGGGAGCGAAGGAGAGAGGGAGGCAGGAGGAGGGAGCTACCAAAGACATTTGAAATATCCTTGGTCTGCTGACTTCCTTCACATAGCTGATTAAAACACAGTTAACCTCTTACCCTTGATCAGTGTGAATGGCTTGAAAAACTGTTATGAGCATTTCAGACAGCTATAACGACTCTCTTCCTTTTGTCAAAAGTAATACTATTTGTTGCCAGTGGTAACACATTTTCCAGGCTTAACAAAAAAAACGAAACAACCTTGCAGTTCATGGTAGAAAACCCTTTTCTACATGGACAGCCATTGTTTTCTGTGAATGAGTAATTTTTGGAAGGTATGTTCAGGAATAGCCTGACTTTCTATTTTAAAAGTTCACTGGAATACAGAAAATATTTGTTACAGAAACAAAAAAGAGAACAAAAAGCTGAGATTTCTCTGTAAATTGTGCAGATGCTTTCATGATCCAGTAGTGGCTGTTTTTCATGCGAGTGCATTCAAAAATGCTGAGGCAGCAAAAGAGAGGCAAAAATATTGCCGGTTACAATTCTGTCAAAAAATGCCACTATATAGCGCCTTACACCAGTGTCACATCAGCTGCAAAGGTGAAAATTATGTCTTGCTTTGTCATATACTTATGTTTGTGAAACTGCTTGTAAAGCTCCTTTCTCCCTGCACCTTCTTACACTGTTAGTGTGGAAAAGCTGGGAATGATGTAAGGATTATTTTTATTTGAGAGTTTAAATTGTGTCACTTAGATCATTCTTGTGACAGATTGTGAGCATTAACCCTTTCCTGCAGTGCCATTCCCTCCCAGAAGGCTGGGGCTGGCACCAATGTGCCTTATTCAGTGTCCCTGGGGAGGGAGCAGAAGCTGCCAGGCAAAACGAAGGACAGTCCGGCTCCTTGCTGTGCTGTGGTCCCTCTGCTCTCACCGTGTTCCCTGGATTTAATTCAGCTCCTTGCTAGTGGCAGGGGGGGTGTCAGACAGCACACCTCAGTGCCTCTTTTTCACATCCTCAGTTTGTTTTCAAACAGCTTTATTCTTTCCTTCTGAGACCAGCTTTCAAAAGAACTGCGGGTAACACTCTGTTCTAAATCAATATTAAAGTACCGCAACAACAAAACTAGCAGTTAACTTGTACTGAAAACAGTATCATTGTACGTGTAAGATGCAAAGACTCAGTTCAGTTACAAAGCAGTTAAATCCATCCATACCTGGAGGATCTTATCGCCAGGCTGGAGCAGGCTGGATGCTGGTCCATCAGGCTGAACCCTAGTAACAAAGATACCCTATAAGTCAGAAGTAACAGAGGTTAGGATGCTATCACCAAGAACTAGTTCCCAAAATACAGGTGTCTCCCTAAATGGTGTCTGGGGGCTTTATATACTCTGGCAGTGGTCTAAACACTAAACTCTTTTTTTAATCTCTTCGTAATGAAACAGTAGTACGGGTTTGTAGCAGCTCTCCACGACCTTCAGCCTGACACAAATATAATTGTGGGTCATTTGAAACTAAGATTCTGTCTCACAAAATAATGTCCAATTTGAATAGGACAAGAGTAACAGGGTTATCAGGAGGATAATTAAAATGGAGCAGGCATTAATTTATTATACTAATGCATACCATAATCTAGACAGTAATCTTTGTTTAGTTTCTCTAAGAGAAAAAAAAAGTTTAAAACAATTTCTAAAAAGCAGCCTTGATAATCAGCCCTTGAGATATTCAGTACAATGGTCTGTAGGACTGCCACTTAATCCAGTGTCTGAGGAGTGAATGACTTTGAAAGGGGAAAAATTATTAAGTAATAAAGGATATTTTTGGATTTGTTTTCAGAATTTCAGTAAAATACATTAATGAAACCCAAAATCAAAGACTTGAGTTCCTAGATGATGAACACATTTGAAATATTTCCCATACAGCTCATGCAGTCCTGTACTTCTGTACCCTCAGTCTCACTTTCTCTACTGTGTTTACCCCGCTGTTGAGGGTAAATACCTTTAAGCAGCCTCTAGAACTGAATATAGGCTAAATTTTAGCCATTTACATTGCTCCCAGAGACACCAGAGAAATTCCCTGCTTGGTATCATCATGCAAATCATGTGCATCCTTGAGGGATTTTATAGCCTTCTGGAGCAAGGTACTGTCCAGTATTTCTGTTGACCTTATAAAAACTTGAGCTCCTCGAGAGCAGAGTGATGGGCTGCTTATATTTCATCCACATGCCATTAACTTGTGACATAAGCCTGCCATTCAAAATGACTGATTGCTTCTGTGCTTTCTGCTGCTTTCCCTGTCCTTTCCTCTCACCTCAGTACCATCAACGTGTCAGGACAAGGGTATATCGCTATGCAGAAGAGAGCTCACTGCCATCCCCACTGATTTCATCTTATAGACAGAATGGTACCATATGCGTGACTTAAAACCATCACAAACGACTGGCATGTATGACGAGAGACAGTATCACCCTCTTATCGCTTCTGTGATATTTAAAACATGATAAATCTGATTTAATGGTGTGGGAAGCAATGTTTCAGAGTAACAACACATAAAAAACTTTTGAGCTATTAATTCCTTCAATCTAACCACCCCATCACTCCCTTAGTACACAATTTTGCATTTCTGTTATTGGTAAAATTAAGTCTGTCTACAGCTGTTACTGCACTGCATGTATTACTGGTGCAGACACATTCATAGTGGGATACAGACTCTTCTTTAATAATTTCAGGCAAGTGATAGACAGTGGAAGTATAGCTTAATTCTAACATCATACATTAAACTGTGGAAAAAAAGGCCATGACATTACGAAGTGTAATTCCAGTGTGCAGTCTCAAAGAAGGACATCAAAAAAGAGCATGTTTTAAGGGATAGTTGTTAAAATGCCTGATGGTTATGTATATTAAATGGAACTATTCCTGAAGTTCAAAACAGGGATTATCAATGAGAAAATTGAAAGGAATTAAGATTGTGTTAGATTGATATTTCCAAGCGTATTTTACATTTCCAATTAGCTTTCTGTTGTAATTCAGAGTGGTGGGGAAATTATTCTTTTAATTTGCACACAGATCTCGTATTTTTGAGAAGAGATGAAAAGATAGTTTCATCATTCGCCAAACATTCTCAATATTTATGGAAGTTATGACTGCCTCTTAAAACTGAATCCAGTGTTATCAAAGAATATAAACTATAAGAATATGTTTAACAGAGAGGTACCCATAGTACTTGTTTCTGAACAAACTCCAGTCAGTTTTACTGCACAGAACAGAAGAATTCACAGGTCTAAGAGTGCGTTTCCTAATCCTAAAGCCCTGTGTAGCTGATAATCACCAGATGTTGCATTTTTACTAGGCTTCCTTTTACTGTAAAGAGATTTATCAACATCTTAAATGTGTAATTCCCAGAATGAATACTGAGTCTTCCTGACCATCACGTACCATAATGGTGTAATTTTTAATGAGCATTACAGAACAGAAGACTGCTTGCCATGGTGTTTGTAAAGCACTGCTGATCTCCAGGCCAGTTTGCAGGCCAGGCCAATTTTATTTGATACAGTTGCTATAAATCCTGGCATTTCAGCTACCTAGTGATGCTATTACTGGTTTACTATTCCCTCTAGTGACTTCAGTGAAAGTTTAATCAGAGCCTATACTGAGTCTTAAAAGAAGAAAGTGAAAGAGACGATTCTCCAAAAAACAGTCTCAAAAATGATCTTATACATGGAATATAAGGCAGACACCCATTGATTTCTGTTTTGATTCTCTTGTCTTCATTAACTAGAAAAAAAAAGTGAACAACACTCCCCTAATAAAAAAAAGCTAAGTATGGGAAAAATTCTTTCAACTATCACAACAGAAGTGCATAAAACTTTCACTCATGTTATCTATGTCTCCACTATAGGGCACTCTAAAATAAGGACCATTTAGAGAGGAATTTATAGCTCACCTTATCAGAAGGTTTGAATGGATTTCCTTGTCCACTTATTCCACCACTGATACTAAAACCAAGGCCAGGATTCTTCTCTATTCTCACACAAAACTAGGTTAAAAAGATACGGCAAGATAAGTCAATGCCAACATTAAAGGCTACCTAAACAATGGCATCCTCTTCTCATATATCACATTTCACCCTTAAGGAGATGAGTTGATGAGTTGACCCTCTCAAAAGCTGTACTGAACAATACGGTAGAAGTCAGTAGAATAGTTATAAACAGAAAGTGTTTTCATGATTTTAGCATGCTGCAATGATACCATAATATTCACAGTGCTACATGTATTTTTGCATATATTTTAAAATTTTATTTTCAAGGAGAAAAAAAACCCTTTAGACTTGTGAAAGAGCAGTTCACAATGGCCAAATTTTTCACTTAAACACTGGGATAAATCTGTCAGTGAGGCTTCATCTTGTGCACTTTTATTTTTCCAGAAGGTGTCAGACGTGCAGCATCCCTGGTGCTATGCCTGGGACAAACCCAAGGACTAAGTACTCTGAAGCTTAGAGATCTTTAGACCATTGTCAGTATCAGGGACACAGCTCTGATAGCCTGCACTTAGCACCAACCAATTTTACAAGTGCCTTACTCCAGGAAATAGTGCTGAATCTTCTCTTCTAGTCAGCATGACTCTAAATGGCATTGGGTAATTGAACATAAAATAAAAATTACTGCAGTGTAGCTTAATGACTACCCATTGAGCCAGTCTGAGCATGTACTCGAGCCACACAGGCAATTGCTTCTGAATCTCAATGCTATACTCAGGGACTTAATACAGGCAGCTACTTGTGCGGATTGTCCAACGCTTTACACAAGAGAAAAGTTTACTAATGATTCTGAACCTTACCCTGCAACTCGGGTGCCTCAAACAGTTACTGCAATCATTAAGGCCAAATATAATGGGGATACGACCACTTAATGAAGAAACTCATCAGCGCCCATTTTGTTTGACTGGGGGCACTGGAGCTACAGCTGGCCTTTCTTAGCCTAAACTGCAGCAGCCAGTACAAATCTGAGAAGATCAGCATCTCGCCAAACATGCTGCACTCTTAGCACTGAACTAGGTTACCGGGGAATTGGCAGAAATTGCAAATTAATTCGGTATGACCCAGTGATGTCAGCTCTGTTCAGGAACTTTAGTGCCAAATTGTGTTGCTTGGTCAATCCAAGGAAAAAATGGTATCAGTCTCTGGTGTTGGGGAAGAGGATACACCTGCTTCCCTGCCTCCAGCTCAGCCATGCTCGCCCATGCTGTCTGGCTCAGCTACCCTCCGTTATTGCCCTAGGCTCCCTTTTCCTGCTGTATACAAGGCAGAAAAAACCGAGAAAGTTTTTGTCAGTGTTATTTTATAGACACACTTTCTCACCTGCTCCTGATACGCATCCGTACTTCTCTGACCCTTGGTTTGGATTAAACACCGCCCTGTCTGAGGTGCTCGAGAGCTCTGCGAAGAGGGAATCTGAATAGGCAGTGGTGGCTGAAACTGCTGAATGGTGACTTTGTTCATGTTTCCTTCATACTGCTGCTCGCGGCTCCGATGCTGTAGGCTTTGTGATCCCATTAAAGTCTGGATATGGCTACCTGCCTGTGGGTAACGTAACCCGTTAGGCCAGAAATTCAGGAAGCTGAAAAGAAGCAATTATTACAACTTACAGAGTCAAGTAAAAGCAAACCTCTTAAACCATATCAGAGGTTTGCCTTTTGACCACAGTTGGAAACAACTGTGATTAAAAGCAGCAAGGATATGCCTATTGCATTTAGTGACCCTAGGAAGTTTAAGGGAAATTAGCCATATACAGTATGTTTTATAAACAGAAAATATTTTTTCGTCATGTCATGATATATGTTTCTGCTCCGAATGTTTTGTGAACTGAAAACATTTAATAAATTGAAGTAGGGTGGATTATTCATCACAGCACACTGAAGATACTGGAATGTTGGGGTTTTTTCTAACGATAGTTTGGAACAAGACTTATATCCAAACACAGATATTGGCCAGTATTGTGCACTGTGTACGGAAAGCATAATCAATTAAATCCTATGCCTTGTCATAGGAACAAAAGTGGCTTTTGCAAAATGTAACTAATCAAATTATCAAATTTCTATGATAATATCTACTGATTTGAAGATCTAGTATTTTGTAAATCTAAGTGAAATACTGCATTTACATTGACTTGGCCTTTTGATATTTTCAGAAAAAAAGGATGGCTGCTATCATTCTTCTATCTCCTCCATCCCCATTGCCTTTCACATTTGCAGGTGAGGTTTGCTTTCTGTATTCTGTTCTTGACATGGTAAAGTTGCATACTTGCTTACTCTTCGATACACAGTGTCTATTTAGGCACATGAATTACATAAACATTTGAGGCAAATCTTTGCAAAATAAATTAATTTGAGACAATTTTACACTTTTCATATTTACAGGATTCAGATGTTGTTGCTTATAAATAATCGCATGCAACTTAGCAGTAAAAGAACGAGCAAAATTCACACTCCATTGTATGATCAAATATTATTACCTCCACAAAATATCACACTGTTGCTACTGAGAATTTTAAGATTATATGTACCCATCAAGCAGTGCTATTGTTTGAACAGCCTGAATGTGAAAGAGCATTATGATTGCATGTTGTAATATCTACACATCTCTATGGACAAAGCAGACCTATTCAAACAACGTTTCACACATTAAGTTTACACCAGCCAACAACACAATCACATCTCATCATGAAGGTCTAATCCTCAGTACTACTGAACCTTTATGATCCTGGTGGAAAAGTCACCAATTGTGAGACTGTATTTTAGACAAGATTAAATTTAATACAGCAAAAGATCAAAACATTTCTTACCCTTTGGCCAATCATCTGGACTTGGAAGTTATCGCAGCCAGGGCATTAGAATTAATTGGTTGCCATAGCAAAAATACATCTTAATGGATTTCCAAGATTTGTCTGCACAACACATCATTAATACAGATGCAGTTGGAGCTACTCATGTCACTGAACACAGAATCCCAGCAAGACACACAGTGACTGTGAGGAAAACTGATCTGTTCTGTCTTATTTTTTTGCTGACTACACTTGAAGAAAGGGACTAGGTAGAATACATGTCTGACAGTTTTTCATTTTAGTACAGGAGGGATAGTCTTGAAGTCAGTAATGACAGAGAAAACTTGCTCCTTGTGGCCAAATCTTCAATCCCCAACTCTTCTTAAAACACAGCTCACCTGTGTACATGAAAGTGCTGAATAGACATTGACAAACTTATTCCAAGAATAACCTGGTGAAGTCAGCCTGTACTGTGAACGTCCCACTTTACAGGTCAGAGAGATCTTCAATTCCTCCAAGATCAGAAGGGAAGGAAAATGCTCAAGACAGACTTTTTAGCTCTTCATTAACTCCCTAGAAGCAACAAGCCATGCCCACAGTGGAGATGTGGTGTGCTTGCACCGTGGAGATGCAAGGTGAGCAGCTGACGGTGTGCAGCCAGTTCTGTACTTCATGTTATGTCAGAGACTCACCACGAGAGGATCCAAAAAAAGTAGAATCTCATAAATTCTGCTATTTGCCCCAGACATAATCCCATATCCACCACAGCAGTCCAGAGCAGGTGCACTGTCTGCCTCAGAGGAAGATGTCTATTTCAAATACAAAAAAAATTGTGCTTCGTCACGGAAAAGCCTGAAATCTTCTTTATCAGGTTAAAACACCTCTGGATTGAACAGCAGATGCTGGAAATGCAACAGAAATAGCCTCCAGCCTCTCAGTCATGGCTAACAGAAGTACTCCCAAGTCAGAAAGGGAGAGAAATGGTGACTTGGACACTTTTGTATGTCCCAGTTTTGAGGCAGCTGCCTCGCTCCAGTTCTATAGCATATGCTCCTTCCACATCCACTGAGACCATTACAGCGGATGCAGGGATCTCCAAGAGTTTGCACGGCTTCAGCCTTCACGTGGACTGCTGCGATCCTGCAGCAGAAGAGGCCAACTAACACAGTCCTACAAAACTCAAATTTGTGTAGCTCATCCTCTTACAGGGTCATCACCCTGCACCCAGGTTGGCTGGCCTGATTGTTCATTTTCCAACTTCATTCTCAGTCTTCAACCTCTCTTCTTCATAAGGAGTGACTTCCAGGTTCCCTTTTGGTGATGCCCTGCCACACTTCTACCCCTTCCCTTTTTATGGAGGAGCAGCTAACTCAGAATACAACTGATTTAACCAGGCATGTAGCTGACTTGTTGACATGACAGAAGAAGTTGTCTTCCAGGAAGCATAAATACTGTAGTGTTTTAATAAATCAGTGGATTATTCAATTTGAAGATTAAAATATCCAACTTTTCCGTAAGAGAAATAGTCCATAAATTATGGAATGATCACATAAATGATCATACTTAAAATAAAATCAGCATTTTAGCTGTATTCTGAACAGCAAAAAGGACAGAAACAACCACTTACACACCACATAATTATGTAGTGATTACTGTGTAGTATTCCCACCCTACCTAACATAATAGCCATCACTACACATATAGTAGCCCTCTATGTGTGGGTAATTTAGGAACACGTATTACTGTGTCTGTATATGTACTACATCGGCCTGAGTACACAGTCCATCCGCCTACAGTACACACTCTTCCCGTTGGAAGAATAAGTCCCAACTCTTCTTCCAGTGATTTCCCAAGTATAGCTCTACCATGTAGCGACTCTGCTCTGCAGGAGCCCATTCACACTAGTACTATTATGTTAGTGGAAAAACAAAACATATACTACAGTTTATATTTACATCATTTAATTGTTTGTTATGCTGAAGTTTAATTCTATAGAAGATTTTCTGAGTCTAACTTCAAATAATTGGTGTATTTTAATTCCCAGATGCTGGGAAACCAGGACACTCAAGGTCACTTTCAGTGGAGAGGAGATTAGCATTGTCATAACAGCACATTGCAAACCACCTCCTGAGGATGGTGAGTAAACAATTTTCAGAATTCATTTTCTCACTCCTGTTAATAGACTTTGAAGAGATCATATCACTACTTCTTGTGTATGCACACTGTGGCTCTTGCTGGAAGTGGATAAGCTGCCTTTCTTGGAAACAGGAATTATTTATTCTGCAGAAAAAGAATCTCTATTATGCAGACTGCTTCCCCAATTTCATTTGTATTCTTTACTTTATTTAACATCCACCGCAAAGTTAATTATTTTCAGCTCAGTGTCCAATATTTACAGTATAATTAAAGTAGCTGACAACGGCTGCAACAATGGATTGCTCCACTGAGTTAAGCAGATTTCAGTATGGTTATGCAATGTTTGTACTTACCACATCTGAGCAGCAAGATACTGAAATATTCAGAATGAAACAGAATCTGCAGTTTCTTATTATAGTAACACTGATGATGCACAAATGCAAGACATAGATGGTGTTAGATTGTGTGAATGGATAAACGCAGGTTTCATCCCAATATGCCAGTGAAGATAAGCAGTGACATCTCTCAAATTTCTTATCCTAGTTTCTTGCATATCAGAAGATAAAGAAACCCTTCGAATAACTTGGCTGTCAGAGCCAATTCCATCAAACAATGCCAGGGCACCCTCCTGCTCACCCTCCTGTGCCTGGGAAGGAGTCTCTGGGCTGCTCTAGGTACAATGGCTTTTGTTTCCCATCTTCAACCAATTCTCTTGTACATGTGTATCTCTTGTCGCTACTTTTGTATGAAGGCAAGGGCTATTGCTTCTGAAACTGTCTTGGATAAAAAGATGTGAAGCCAGCAGGGAGACATTTGCCTCCTCAGTGCTGACAGCTAATTATGCTACAGAAGCTATTAGTATGCGCATTATGACTTTCACACCAGTTTTATTCACTCATAAGACTTTCCTGCAGGAATGAGCAGGACCGATCTCCACATAGATAACAATCAATGTAATTATCACCACTTACATGTGCAGCTCTACCTTCTAAAGCTGATGGCAAACACAGTTTAGTTTGTCAAGATCCTCTATTCTCCAGCTTTATGATTAGAGCATCTAAAAATGGCAGTTTCTCAGTCCATGAGCAGAGCCAAGTAAGGGCTGGGAGAGAGCAGCCAGTGTTTTCACAGAAACAGGCCAGATCCAAGCACTGTAGTTTAATGTCTACCACCACAAGGTACTAGAAATTAGATCCCTTTCTAGTGAGTCTATCAGCAAATGATGTGTGCCTAGGATGTCTCTGCAAAAAACGTCTGTGACTGTCCAGACACTGGGCTGGCCTCCATCCCAACACGTTTATTTTTTGTTGTGAACTGAAGAATGTAATTGAAATGAAACACTTGAATAAAGACTTTTCAGGACAAGAGGGAGCTAATGGCTGTCTGATACATGCAGAAATACACTTGCCAAGCCCACTGTGCCCATTTCACACACTATAGATGTAACTACTAGCACCTGCATAAATACAAAAACAGGTAGCAGGCATGAAAACACCATCCTTAATTCATAGGTATTATTGCTTTGAAGTTTGAAACAAAAATACGCATTTCCCAAACCTGTCCTCATTAACTTGTTCTCATCCTTCCAGTGATTTGCTGGGAAAAGATGACAACCATAGTTGTGTCAGCAGCTTTGCTCATGCTGCTTACCTTCTTCGTGACCGTGTCCGGTGGCACGTCCCGCCGCCCCAGCGGGTAGGGGTTCCACTGGCTGCTCACAGACACCTCCTCCTGCCCGTTGTCCAGAATGCTGCTCTGCTGCGATGGGGTCTGTTGCAGAAATGGTAGGGCAGCCTTTAGTCACTGGACACACCATGACAGAAAATTCTCTCCTCATATTTATTTCAATCAACCCAGTTAAACTGTAACACGCTTGCTAAAATGGAAATCCTTTTAAATTTCTATGGTATTTCATTAATGTGTCATCATATTGCTGTGGGACTCTCTACAAGCAGGAGATCTTGAAAGATATATAAGAGAAATAATGAGAATAATGAATGATGAGAGAAAAGAGAAAATTCATTTAACTCATTATTTTCAGAGAAAAGAATTTTGGCAAAGTTCCATATTTAAACAAGCAGTCTGCCATTAACCATTTGAGTTAGAACTTTCTTGCTGGTCATTCAAGCATCAAAAACTTTTTTATTAAGTATCTGCCATGGATATAATTTATATGCTTATATTTTCTTCAGAAAATATTCCTCAATGGTAATATTGAACTTGTGACTACTGTTACCTCATGCTATGCTCTGTGTATCACTGTGTGTGGTGTGCTTCTCACAGACCTCTCTCTAGGCTATGGCTGGTTTTGTTCTGAGTTAACAGGCTATAATACATACAATATTAATCAGTAATTAAATGCTTTCCTGAATATGAATGGATATAACACACATTTAAAGTTTCCTAAAGGAGCTTGATACTTTTGTTACTATTTTCCACTTTTCTCTCCTTTTATACATGTTTCTTCTTATCACTTTTTCCCCTGGTTATTTTACTCCTGTTTTCAGTACTTTTGAGGACATGTACTTTTTCTGTCCCATCCTGATTTTCTGTTATCTGTCTCTGTATTTCTTTACCATAGCTGGAAATTTTGCTAACATGGGTATGGCTTTTTGTGTCAGCCTTTCCAAAATGCCAACACTGTACTACCACTGACAGCACTTAGCATTATGTAGTGCTTATTCAGTTAACTGCTTATTCAGTTCTGATTAATGGTAATCTGCAAAGAAAAAAAAAGTCTGTTCTTCCCCTCTGTCATTCAAGCAATTTCTTCTTCAGCTTAGATTAAAAAAAAAATCATGATACACTTCTTCAGATGACTGACAAACAAATGAAACTGTCGCTTTGAAGTATTAAAACTGGTAACTGCTCAGTTAAGAACTTTTTTAATGCAAGCTTAAAAATCCTTTAGAAGTAAATAGAAGTAAATTGTGATTAAATCATACTCCTCAGAGGGTAAGTAAAAAAATTCAACCCTAATTATTTAAAATCAAAGAAAACTTCATCATTCTCTCATCATCCAAGAAGTCTTCCAGAAAAATCAGGAAAGCTGTGGTTTTCCTTATATTAAAAACCACTAGAAAAACATTTCCCCTGTTGAAACTACAAGACCTCCCTGCAGAGCTTTCTTTACACACATTAAGCAAAAATGAAACCACCCTCAGCACTTTTTCCATAGGTTATCCCTCACAGCTCAACAAACACTGGTCCCAGTGCCTGATGCAGCAGCACTGCTGCTCTCTCAGATAGCACAACACTCTCAAATGCTGGCAAGTTTGGGCACAGAGCTATACGCTGGCGTATGGACATGCACGAAACCTGACGATAAGTCCCTCACAGGGAGCTAACCCTTTGTGTCCAGACAGGCGTCCAGGACCGCGAGCAGCCTGCCTGAACATGCTGCCAGGGGTTAGCCCCTGCCCAAGGCTTCCCAGCCCAGGACACACTGAGCCCTGTCTGTCCATAGATCAGAATTTCAGTCCCAGTTTGGGCCCAGGTAGGGCAGTTTTGTGCCTACACAGACTCACGAATCAGCCAGTCTGCCCTGTTTGCTGCACGTCCCTACGTAACCCTCATCCAAATGGGGTGCACATCATCTGAGACCAGGGCAGCAAACAACTTCTAAAATGAAGAAGTTCAATTACAAAAATTTCTGCTCCGAGTAGTAGTAAAAAACAATGAAAAAGAAAGGCCATCATCTTTGTGATGTGAATTATCCCTTCCAGAGTCACCCACAGACTGAGGTGCCCAAGGCTGTGCTGGAAATCTGCTCACCTCCCTGTGAGATGAATTTATAAAACATGCTATGTGCCCTCACCATGCAGAGACAGAGGGCATTAATGAGGCAGCTTCCTAAGGGAACTTCTGTTTTTCCTCCTAAGTGATACATGTGAATACGCTGATTATTCCTAAAGAGAGGTGGTACTGTACAGTTCTGAGAATGAAGTGCACCAAACCATAAACTTTTAAAAGAACTGTGAGATGGCTGCCAAAAATTGAAAGCATTCTTCTGAAAAGTGTTTCTTTTGTCACTGCAGACAACGCTGTGCCGTTTTTATAAGCTACTGACTAATCTGCAGAGGTGAGTTTGCATTCAAAATGGAAAAAGAAAAAAATATAGATGGGTGCTTTCTGCTTTCTCAATAAATAGGAAAATTCTGTGATAACAGGTTTTTCTTTTCATTTTCTGCAGCAAAATGAATTTGCCTACTTGCAATATGATTCATTGACAGAGCTTGGACAGACTGCAAACAAACTACGTATCGAATAAGTCTAGGTAAAAAATGAAAAGCAGCAGTTAAAACATTTTATACATGGAGTAGAATCAATGTAATAAACTTTCTCAAAGTAAGTAATTGCTATACTTGATTTCCTGATCTTCCACTGGACAATTAGACCTCACTCATTACTCTCTTGAATCCAGGCCACAAGAAAAAGGAAGAAGAAGAGGTAAATATTAAGCTGCTGTGGCCTGGATTCATTAAGAAATGCAAATTTTTTAGAACATGTGAACGAATAAAATTAAACAATACATATTATTTGTTCAACAATATTTTTTCACTGCTTTCCAAACAGTACAGTAAGAGAATACACCACCTTCATGCACTTCAGCATCACATTTTGTATGGGTATGTAGCAATGAAATGCTGGTGAAATATAAAGCGGAATAATTCACATAAGATCACACCCCAAAACATGTCACTCTAAACAGTTTCATGAATTTCCTCAGACATCCATATCTTAGTATCCATATTCTTAAAGTGATATATAATACCTTATTCCTAAATGTGTATAGAAAAATAGTACCATTATTTGGACTTGATGTCAAATGGACTTCTTTCAAGGACTTGTGACAAGAATCAGTATATACCCAAGTAGACAAACAAATTCTTTGAAAGAAAAAAACAGTATGACCAACACTGGAAAGCTGTCTGTGTCGAAACACACACACATATCTATGGTTAAGATTTGACCTAGATGTCATCAACTGAACAACAGAGAAGGACACACTAACATTAGGACTTGTTTAAATCCAGGGACAGCTGAATGGGAGGTGTAAATGAAGCTAACAGTGTATGGAAAGTAAGTTACAGCAGGAGAAACCTGACAATGATCTCTGTGTGTGTGTGTGTGCATGCGCGCGTGTGCTGCTAACCTATCACAGTTTTGCTTGGAAATCCAGTGTACGATGCATATGCCTGTATTAGTAAGCTAAGCAGTGCTACGGCCTGCCCTCTGGCCAACCAGCACAATCTGGTCATGTTGCTGCCATTACATTATCTTATTCTTCTAAATAGGCTTGGATCTAAACTCTTAAACAGGGCATTGGAACCCTCCTTTGGCAATTTCTGGCCAGTGTTGATTCTGGAGCCCCGGCCAGGGATTGCCTGGGAGGGTGCCAGCTGGCCTGGGCCAAACCACGCCTGAGGCCAGTCCAGCAATTAACAGCGCAGATGATCACATTTCAGTGCCTGGATCTGTGCTCTGTTACCCTTTAATTACTCACAGAGATGTTGCTAATTTGTACCAACAGCTACTGATGCTAATACAGTAAGACACTTAACGATGCTCATCACTTCTAGCGCTGCAGTAGCCCCCTGCCATCACACACAATCCCAAGCGCGACTGCTTGCAAGTGTCTGGCAACTGGCTGCTGCTGTGACTCCGGTGTGGCCGTATGTGACGCAGAGTAAGGTCTCGGCATCTCCTCTCTGATACTCTGAAAATACTTCAGCAATGTCCCTCTCTGGCTTGTCATATGTGCTTTTCCCATCAAACATTTGTTTGTGTATAATTGTATATGTATGTACTTATCAACAATATATCGCTAATAGCTGTAAAAAAAACAGTAAAAAAAAGATAAAATTATTTTCTTTCTATAAGCATTACTCAACAAAAGTTTAAAATTAATTTAGGTGTGGTAGGCATGTACTCAAAACTCATCAACTATTGCAGCATACCCAATTAACGTTCATATGTTAAAATCCCTGTCTCTTGGAGCCTATTTAAATGCATATTAAACATTTCTACACTAATTTTTCTAAGACCAGTCACAAAACAAAACACGTTCTCCATTTCTGTGCACAGATTAAGTCATTGAGAAAATGATTGCACCAGTCTGTAACACAAGAGCAGAAAGCAGTAATGACAGCCATGTGAGCTACTTAATCCAAAAAGCAAGATTACTGAGTAGGAAAACTGTATTACTATCATCTTTGCTTTTTGGATTGTGTATAGTATAAGCATGAGTAATAGGCAAAAGCTAAACCAGGAAAAAGCAAGGAGTATTATTAATTTATTTTGTAATGCTGGTATATGCTGGCTATCCCATACTTACTTTCGGTAGAGGTAGCTCTTGAAGCATTTGGTTTTCAAATTTAGATTTAGTCTGCAAGTTTAAAGTCATGCTTCTGCCGGCATGCATTGCTGAAAAACCTCCAGAGTGCAGCATGCCAAGGCTAACTGTGTTGTGTTTGTAAGCAGCGGTCTGAGTAGAGGAAACAACCACGTGACAGGATATGAACACACATGCTCATTGAATTAAGTATCACACATATATGGTTAATTTCACAAAGTTTTAGTTTAAGCAAACAAACAGTACCAAGAAATAAATAGCTTCTTGATGCATGCACTGGGTCACACGGAAGCAAATACATTGCTAGTTATACATAAAATGGATACCATAAAAGACTTCAACGCTGACAGCAGATGAAATATGTCGTTATCTGTAGTCTGAAAATTGCAGTATATAACGTGGTACAAGTCTTTATTTTGCAAATATGGCCAAATTTTGGTACTTCTGCACAACCATGGATGGGCCGGAAAACATGTATCTAGCATAAAAGAGCATCAAAGGCAGAGGAAAAAACCCTGTACAAGAAGGCTCTGCACCATCTTATGAGCTTTGCGGCTGCTGCCTGGCTAGCAGCTGCCCACAAGGGACAAGTTTTGGTTGGGCCCAGCACAGCAGGTACACAGCTCCTGCACAGACCGGCATCTCCCCAGCCGTGGGCAGATGGGCAGCGTCTTCTCCTGGGGCAGCTGCTGCATCACAGCGCCCAGGCATTCCTAGCGGCAAAATCTCCACCAGGCAGCCCAGCTTCTTAGAGCTTTGCTTATCGTATCGTAACTATCTCGTTGGCACCTGCAGGGATTGCTATGAACTCAATTTAACTAGAGAAAATCACCAGTATCAGCCTTCCATGAGATAAACTATTTCTTAAGCAAATACACATTGTAAACTAAGTGTCAAGATATTTCTGAAACAAACAACATCTGGGAAGTGTTTATTTCCACCAGAAACGTCTCTACTTGGCGTGCACTATTTTGCCTAGGTATTATGTATTTTCCAAGTTTTACACAACACAAGGAAAACAGCTGAAGTAAGGGAAAAGCTTCAGCCTCCAAGCCAGTTTCTAAAGTTTACCCATTTGATCCTTAATATTTTAATATGCATCACATCAGAGCAACTGGAAGGTAATGAATATATTAACACCAAACTCATGAGTATCTAGCATAAAATAGGTATATGGACACATTTTGAAACTAACTTATGCATTTGATGACAGTAATTTTTCACAACCACTTCAGATTATGAAGTAAATCCAATTAATGAAGTAGGTCATTAAATAGTCAAGATCATTATCGAAATCATGCACTATAGTACTTGTACTGTTTTGTAAAGAAGATAAATAAGCATAACTTCCTACTGCTAAAAGGAGTAATAATCATATTCCTTGTTAAAAACAGTGTCAGTGTATATCCAGTGATATTTTTCAGAGTTAAGAGATACCTTTAAATCCCCTCCACTAACAGTGATATGAAAGCTAAAATACATTATTTTATTTTTTATCTGTGATATTTTTCTTTATTGCCTTTTACTGCAAAGATGTATCTGGCATCTTTTAAAGCTCTCAAATCATTACTGAAGTGGTGGATTTCAGCAGCACGTTCACATCTGTTGATAAGGAGAGGTTTTTATTATTTCAGACAGTGCTGCAGCAGTTACTACATTAGTAACGTGCACTGCGTTACTCGAGCAGAGACTCTTTGTCACTCATTTACCCCTCACTCCAGCTGCTTTTGAGCACCCCCAGACCCTTTTGCGGGCCGGTTCTTCTGACACCAATGCAAGAATTTCATTACTGGGAATTCTGGTGGTTACCACTACACGTGCAAATAGTTTGAAATACCGAAACACACAACTAAAGGCATTAATTGCAGAGAAATGCCAAACATACCCTGTCTAACCTTCTAGCTTCTATATGTCTAAGTAGCTGTTGTCTCCAGTCAGCGGGCATTTTAGCACAGCTCTCATTTCCCTTCACAGGGGTAGGCCTTGTCTTTATATCACTGTTATCGGAAGGCTTGTCGCCATAGTTACCCAAGTTATAGTCTGACGGTATCTTTTCCAGCAGAGCTGCCATTGTAGGCCTCGCCGAAACCGGCCTGGTTTGGGATGTGCCATAACTCTCTGTACTGTAGCTTCTTGCAGACAACGGCCTCCTTTGTGTAAGGTTTTTAACTGGAAAGCTTCCAGTATGGGTTTTCACTTCTTGGTAGGAAGGATGCTCATCTTCATACCTGCCGTTCCTCTTGAGGAACTGAGACTCAGAGACCGAGATACTGCTTTGGCGCTCCACAGCTCCTCGGTACGGAGGCCTGCCATACCTATCGCTCGGGGGCAGCTCGTGGGGTTCACTGACTCTCCTGAACATGGACATCTCGGTGGAGCTGGCCAACGAATCTGCCCTCCTCAAGAACCCTGGCCGAGACCCCTGGCTCGCAAAGGGGGCACTGACCGCCTCCTCGTTCACCGAAGGCTGGGAGAAGGAGAACATGTGCTCTACAGGGGGGTAGCCGCGGTAGGCCCTCGGGCTGACCAGATCCTGGGGCAGGTTTTTACTCTGCTGGGGAATGTACTCAGGGTTGAGCTGGAAAGGCGGCGGTATCCTCTTCTCCGCTGTGACCTCCACTGCTCCCTGCGGGTTGAAGCTTTGGTCGAATTGGTAGACTTTCTTCGTGACGGACGACTTCTGCTGCGGCTGCACCTTGACGCTGCCATAGGTCAGCAGCTCGTCGTCCAGCATGGGGACCGACTGGCTGCGGGACATGCTCAGCATGCCGTGCTCCGGGCCCAGGAGCTTGTCCACCCTCTCGTGGGTTCCTACAGTATCATTACCAGATGCATAGTTTTCTAAGGGTATATTATACACTTTGTATGTACCAATGTCTATCTCATCGATACTCTGCGACTTCTTAAATTTGTTAGTTTTTAAATCCCTCATCATCGGAGAAAGCCGTTCTGTACTCTTGCTGATTGAAATAACGCTTTTGGAAGGATCTGGGCGACAGTGGATATGGGAAAAGACGTTTGTGAGACTTCTGTTAGCATTTGAATCGTGATATTCCCATGCTATTCCTGGAGTGAAAGTGCTAGTCATTTCAGGAGACTCTTTGACATGATTTTTCCGCTCAGGCAAAGGGCTGGTGGTGGGGGTGCTTTCCAGTTTGGAAGGAAAAGCTGTCCTGTCTTCAAAAGGACTAGGGGTTCTGGTCCAATTTTGCCAAGGATTGGGAGGAGGCACTTCAGATTCGTGTGTGTTTCTGAGCGTCGGCTGCTCTAGCTCCAGGGGAATGCCAACTATCCTGTCTTGTCTAATCAACGGCCTGCGTCCATGCGCAGATGTGCTTCTGGATTTCGTGCTCAGGAGGGGGTTAGCACTATTCTCCACTGTGCTCTCCTCTGCAACGAACCCTGTGTTATCGTAGTGCGAGCCATCGTTCCAGCTGTCAGTGAAGGTGTCGCTCAGCGGGCGCCTGTCGGTGCGCTGTGGCAGGGTCCCCGGGCAGTTTCCCCGCCGCAGCGGATTCCCGCTGGCTCAGCAATGGCTTTGTTTCAAGGGGCTGTGGAAATGACTGTGCCAGCCTGCAAAAACAAAACAAAATGAAAGAAGATAAAATGCCCTCTGTTAGAGCACATAAGCAGTCATCAGAAAGACACAATTATGAAGCAATTTAATATTCTCCCATCTATCCTTTGGCTTTGGGATCGTACTATGAGATGCACACCTTGTGCCACTGGTTTGGCATGAATGGCTGCAGCAGTTTTTTGCACTGGCGTACAGATTCTGTAAGTACATGCACAGAGAAACTAAGAAGTCAGTCAAAAGTCCTGGGTGGCTCAATGCCATGTTCGTATGAATCCAGCTGAACATATTTTCCTGCTTTAAAAATAATCTTCTATGAGTGCAGGGAAGATTTTTTACACTTACATATTCTTTTTTTAAACCAAAATAGCAGATGCAGTTTGTGCATGTTCTCACCACCAAGATTTTATGCATCTCCAGTGAGCAGGCTCCAGCCTCTCTTTCATGGGGAAGAGTCTGTGGATGGAACTACATTTAGGATGGAACTACATTAGGTGATTTAGGGCAGGGTGTTCCTGGTATGGTATGAGCTTGTTTTCAGGTTGCTGATGGCCAGTGCAATTTACAACTTTCAAAGAACTGTGTTGTTCTTGGAGGTCCAGGGCAGAGTGAGGCTCAGGACAGCAATAATATGGGAGACATACACTCTGCCATCTATGCTAAACTACAGCCAGCTGCAGCTCAGGACCACACAGAGCAAAATAATGCAGCTCAATTACTAGGCGCTTTTAATGCATGGTTATAGCACATAGTTGAAAAACCAGCTGTAGAATTACTGACATTTATAGAGTATGAATGGGTGGCCAACTCTGCATAGCCTGGGCTTTGAATAGCTATGTACACCTCCGCAAAACTGGGGTAAAAACGTTGTATTTTTCTAATTGAATGCCTTAACAGATAGCATACGATCACTTTGAATGCATATGACAACAGAAGATGAAAGGCAACCAGAAGCTGTGTTAAGAAAGATGATCACACCTGTTCCCCCACAAAGAGTTATTCACTGCTTCTTTAGCCGTTGTCTGCAAGGACCCCATTTTAACATGCGCATTGGAGGACCCTGAGGAAGCCTGGGAAGGGGAATAGTCTGAGTAAGTGCCTGAGGAAACGCTGTTATTCAGACAATGGATCTTATCTGCTTCAGACTCATCTGTCGATTCTGAAACAAAACACAGCAAACATTTTCAGGAGGTGGTATTTGAAAACTAAACTCCAGAAAAATACATTTTTAAATTCGTACTATGGAGATACATATACATGTGCACAAATATGCATGTAATACATTTTAAAATCAGAGTGTAGAACATCTTAAGTAATGTGTTTATCTGTGTACATTACATATGCTTTCATCTAAAAGGTTGTAAGTCAAGTTAGTACCTTTCTTCTCTTTACCCAGAAGAACAAGTTTGGGTGGGTACAACGGAGTCTCTGGCATGGAAGGACGAAGTTCCCCTATCCTCATCTCACTGGCAGGATGTCCAAAGGCATCCTGAGGAATACAATAATGTAGAGTAAACACAGGAAACAGAATCCACTTCAAACTGCAACGAACAAACATTTCACAGCCTTCTTTTCATGAATGTGACAACACACCAAAACCCCACCATACGGGTAGCGTCTAATCATGCTGATTTGTCAGCTGAAAATTCTAATTAGTCCTACATAAATACTTGTAAAAATTATGGTGATGTGTTCATTCTGAAAATGTGGACAAAACAGATGGAACTTGCAAGATACATCAAGGCCATGTAAACATTTTTGATGAAGTAAAGCTCACAAAAATGCAAGCTGCCAGTGGAAATAAATAAAAATTTAGAATAAACAATTACTTCTTATTTCAGGAGTAAGTATTCCTCATTGACTTATTCGTGGCACAAGTCCTTCCATATATTCAACTGTCCCTATAGCTATATTTCATTAAAATTACTTGGTCTCTAAAGAGTTTTTTGCTAAATTAAAATGATTCAGATTTCATCAACTTCTCATTGAGAGTTCAGCAAATCTTGATCTTCAAAGACTGCCCTGCACAACTGTTTTGCTGTTCTGGCCAGCAATGGGATATATACTGAAAATAACATGAGTTAAAAAGTGGAAAGAAAGTGAGCTGTGGTCTTAGGAAGAGATATTTTAAATTAGGACAATTAAATTAGGCTCATAGGATAGCTAGAAGGGAACGAAGACACCAACAGGGAATCCGTGGCATTTCTTGTCCCTGGAAGAAAGTTCAGAAATGAGACAGACGCTGACCTGACGATAGGTGTCTTGGGGAGGCAGGGTTGGGGATGACACTTACTGGAGGAATGATACTGGTAACCCTGCCCTCAGGAGGGGACTTAAGGAAAGGGAGCCAGAAGAACAAGCAATATGGGAAACCCACTTTGTGGGCGTTGGTGCATGGGCTCAGGAAATGTAATGGGAAGGGAACTGACGGAGATGGGCATGGCAACACTGAAAAGTCGTGCCAATGCCAATCAGGATTCTTGTGGGGAGGGGTATGAGAAACATGCATCATCTCGGAAGTGAGAGGATGAGCTGTGATTTCGTAAAGAGTATGGAAGTTGGAGAAGGAGAGTATCTAGTAAAAAAGAGGAAGTTTTGGAGATATTAGGAGAAAATCAATAATTAGTAGTATAAATGAGGAAGGAAATGATTAGGAGAAAAATATTTAGGAGGGAACTTACACTAATGGAGACACTATGAGGATCTCTGTACCCTGACATTTTGTTGTTAAAGATACTCCAGTGATTTTGCAGAGTGAAGTCAATAAAGGAAAGAGATGTAATATTTAGAGAAACAATTTAAAATGGAGTACCAAAACCAAACCCACATTATTAAAATGTAAAATGCTACAATACTCTTAAAATTGCTTTTACTCATAAAGAGAAAACTTTCAGAGGTTTACTCTCCATTAACTACTTTTTGTAGTAACAGTGGAAACAGAGATTTGTAGAAGCATTTGCCATGGGATTTATCCTTGAGGAATATAATTATATTTACGAAACAGATATTTTAATCCTTCTGCATTTGGTGTTCTACTGGAGGTAGTACCATACCAAAACAGCAAAGAACAGGTATCTTCATAGCCCATTTAATTAACCCCCTCAGTGCTAACATTTAAGCAAATATAGCTGCATACTGACTCTTACATGGTGTAATATATTCAAGACTTTAAACTACTTTCACATGCAGAGATCCCCTGTTGTGTATGGTATTTCTTATATAACAGTAGTGATGTACATACAACTTAAAGCTAACAATAGTGCAACAGCATTTTTCTAGTGCAGCACAATCACTTTCCAGTCCAGTGTAACAAACTTATGCAAAACCATTTTTTGAGAAATAAAAAAGTGCACAGCATTCGCAGAGTGTGAAATTCTCCATCTTTGAAGCATGGTGCATGTTAAGTTTCTTGCTGTACCTCTGAGCTTTTTGTATGCTCTTCTTTCTCCTTCCTGTCTGGGATTTCCAGAGTCGATTTATGAGTGTTGTCTGTATCAGACTGGTGACTTTTTTGGAATTCTTTATTTTCACTATCTTCAACCTAGAATCCCAATATTGTGCCATGAAAATTCCAAAAGTTGTAAGCTTAAAATAAAACTACTTGCTGTAAGATAGGAAGAACCAGGAGTTCCATTTTTGACATAATGATGAACACAGGTTTTTATTTCAGGTGCATGATTTTATGAAGTTTTCTATGTTATATTATTTCTTTTTCTTTGTAGCCCCTAGTCTAGCTATTCCAACAAAAATCAATACACTTTTGAAAGAACTAGTCTGGCATTTGTGAATACGCCATGAAAGTGAAATATGTTGTAAAAAATCAAAATCATATTCCATTTAATTCTACTCCGTTTAAGAGGACCTTTCTTCTTACAAGCCCAAGAACAAAAAGGTCACTAATAGGAAAAAAAAAAAAAGTATTATTAATAGGACCAATTGCAAGAACAAAGGGAAGAGATAAATGCAATTGTCTGGTGTCAGAACTTATTCCTCAGGACTAACCAGAGAAAGATATAGGTAGAGGACAGAAAAATATGGTGAGCTGTTTCCCAAGAGAAAATACATGGTAAAAACCATTAAAATAACTGGGAAAGAGAAATATCACCAATTATTCACGCTGACAACACAAGAACATTAAATGATAATCTAGAGAGATGGAATTTTAAAAATAACCTAACTCTTAGAGTCTCCTTGCAAAGAATGTAAAGCCTCCGAATAGGGCAAACCAGGGCTCTGGGCTGATGCAGCATGCACAAGGCAGAGGAATGCAGAACCATTAATGATGGATTTACTCCAGAGGAACAATTAACCATAGAGAGCTGGCAGCACTTCTAAACTGGAGAAGGCTAGGTCAATTTGAAGAACGACAAGCTGGCTATAAAGAAATGGAGAAGCAAAGAAATAAATGGATTAAGGTAAATGTTACTCGGTCTAGATTTTGCTACATTTTAATGAAAGAATAAAGGAGATCACAGAATGCGTACAAACAGATGCAACCAGATAGCTGTCAGAATATCCCTAGAAAGAAGCAAGTCTGAGGCATAGGCATCTTTCCTGAGAATCAGTTAGTGGTGCAGTTTTGTAACAAAGCCTTGCTGAGCCACTTACCCACGTTACAGTCTCTGCACAGAAAATGGCAGTACTTCCACCTCTCAGCCCTGTATGTCAACAGTTTCAAAGTCCCACTTAAATAGTCTTCTCCTGACAAAATCACAAAACGAATTCTATCTGAAGCTGAGCATGTGAAAGGCAGTCACACTTCTGGATATTCTGCTGTCCAAGCTAGCAATTACCTGATGCCCTAAATAAAATTCAGTCACCAATCCATGAATGCACCAAGAGTCACCCAAAAATGTAGGATTATTCCAGAAGAAAGCAGAGTGAAGGATCTTCCACCTGCCCGTAAATCTCTCTCACTCTTCTGGCTGCAGTGGCAGCTTCCAGAAAGGCCAGTTTCAGTAGCCATTAGATTTTAAAGGTTGTCCCAAACAGGATGTTAATACAAGATATAACTGAACCAGTGGAAGGAGAACTCCTGAATGTGGATATGGAATCTGAAAGTGGGAGAACAAAGGAAGCCTGTTACACTTCCTACCTGCAGAGGTGATACAGCAGCCAGCACAATGTTATGGCACTGATGCAATGAGCTCTCACCTTTCCAGCTCCAGCAGGCAATCGCAGACATATGATAGAGCTTTAAAAGGAGACATAAGTACATGAGGAACAGACTGGGGCAGAGGTAGTTTTTGGGACTCTACATGGAAAAACTCAGTAGATCCTGGAAAAAAGTTGTCATCTGCAGGTAGCGCATAATGATTGTTTCTGTGTCCTGGTTTTGGCTGGAATAGAGTTAATTTTCTTCCTAGTAGCAAGCATAGTGCTGTGGTTTGGATTTACTAGGAGAAGAATGTTGATAACACACTGATGTTTTAGTTGTTGCTAAGTACTGCTTATGCTAGTCAAGGACTTTTCAGCTTCCCATGCTCTGCCAGGTGCACAAGAAACTGGGAAGGGGCATAGCCAGAATAGTTGATCCAAACTGACCAAAGGGCTATTCCATATCATATGTCATCATGCTCAGTATATAAACTGGGCAGGGTTGGCCGGGGAGCAGCAATTGTTGCTCAGGAACTGTCTGGGTATTGGTCGGTGGGTGGTGAGCAATTGCATTGTGCATCACTTGCTTTGTATATTATTATTACTATTATCATTATTATATTGTTATTATTATCATTACCATTTTACTTTATTTCAATTATTAAACTGTTCTTATCTCAACCCAGGAGTGTTTCTCACTCTTACTCCTCCGATTCTCTCCCCCATCCCATCGGGGTAGGGGGAGTGAGTGAGCGGCTGCATGGTGCTTAGTTGCTGGCTGGGGCTAAACCACGACATTCCGCCATGTGTCTCTCTGCCTTGCAGTCCGGTGGACTGGCAAGCAGTTGGAGGAATGCACACATTCACCTTGCCTATTCAGGTGATCAGAAATACAGCCAAGCAGATGCATCCAAGACCTGACCAGAACTACCTATCACCAAAGAAATCAAAGTTACAGATCCCCAGTCTACAATGATGTATTTTAGAATGAAAATTTCCATTTGCAGTAGTTTAATCTCACATGGCTAAGCCTGTTAGCTGACATGGTCAGGATTCTGCAAAGATAAACTGCAGATGCTTATTGACTGGTCATCAGTCATGTACTGCAGAGGATATGAGACCTTCTAACACCATCCTCAGTTACAAACCATTGAGAGGCTCTTGTCCAGCTCTGTTTGTGGTCTTCAGTGTGAGCACAGAAGTCTCTGTACTGCCCTGAGTTGCAACACCGTGATATGTGAATTGCACTCTCTGTGCTTTCCCATCTCTGGAGGAAACAAGCTTCTGTTGCTCTTTATCTAGATGGAAATGCACCCAATTGCATACATCTCAACGAGGTTGCTACCAATAGAGAATCCCAGGCCTTTTGCAAAAAAGCCACTTCACGGTCCATCAAACATAAACCAGGCCTACATGCCCTGTGTATATGAGTTTGTAGAGAGTGCCATGTCCAGACATGTAACACTACACCTCCTGAGTCCTTGTGCAGGTGGGGACAGACAGAGCAGTAGCCTCAGAGGATCAACTAATGTCTTGGACCGATTTTATGGAAGGCAGGCTTTATCTTGGATGCAGCCCTGAATAATGCCCTTCCAATCCAGACACTTAGAAAAGGTCAAGCAGAAGTTAAAGTAACTCAAAATGAACTTTAAGACATTTGACATCCTATCTGAAGAAAGGTCTCTTGTGAGTCAGACCTCCAGATAAGTAGATCATTACCTCCTTTCTCCTTTGACAAGAAGGCACCAAGGTCATAACCTCAGTAAAGATCTTTTGTGCCATGGAGAAACCAAAAACTCCATAATGAAGACATTTCTGACTCCTGGTAAAATATAGGTAACTCTGTTGCAAAGGGCTTATCAAGGTATGGGCTTAAAGCAGATACAAACCAAAAATCTTTAGCATATATTCCTCTCCCAATCAGAAGAGAGTGTCATTGTGCATCTCATTAGTGGAAAACAGCTCCCACAATAGACGCATCAATTGAATCAACTGAAGCCAGGCGTCCTGGGGGAAGTAGAAGTGTGTAAGTCTTCCTGGAAAGGCAAGATGATCTTTTAAGATGGTCTCTGAAACTTTCACTAAAAACAAAACAAAAAGAACACTCTTTTCCACCCCCACCTGTTGAAGGCTAACTCTGAAACTTAGCTAACATTGTATCCGGCCAAGATGTTTTTGTACGCTGGCAAGTAAAGGACACTTAATCACCCCTAATCAGAAGAACAAACACTCAGTATCCTTTAACCGAAGACATCCCGGAGCAACTAGACCTTGAAGAAGTACTCAGAAACTGATAAAAGGGAACATCCGACCCAAGCAGGTGCCAGAAAAGCTGGATGATTGCTGAAAAACAGTAACTGGGGGAAAGGTAATTCCAGCACGGGGAGATCACAACCACCGACTCAATTTAGGACCAAAAAGATTTGTCCCCCCACAACCGTAAGGAGAATGCATGCTAATTTACATAGCAAGTGAGGCTAATTAGAATATAGTTGACCAATAGCAGATAGGATGGTAATTACTAACCAATCATTGTAAAAAGAATGATTACTAGCTCTGTAAGTTTTATGTATAAATGAGGCATGGAAAGTTTTGTTTGGGGTGCTAGCTTTGTGGAATTACCACCTAGCACCCATCTCTGTGCAGAAATGAAATAAAATCCATTTCTTGACTCAGTGTGTGGATTGGATTGTTGCACACCAGGTAACGAACTCCCTTTGTGGGACAACATACCTACCCAATCCCCCCCGGCAACCCAAACCCACACAGTAAGAAAGTCAGAAGTTAAAAGGATTGAGGTCTTATTTTGACTGAGATGAGACGAAGGTCCCAGAAGATCCAGTACAGCTGAGGCGGTATTTTTCTAGCTGTTAGCACTAGCATCTGCATCAGATGACTCAAAAAATAACAATCTCTCCTTTTTACACAATATTAATAAACCTGCTAGGAATTAACACAAAGGATGGAACGCTATAGGTTGGACTAGAAAATACTTTTTTTTAATCCAAAGCTGAGAGTTATTTGGAAGTATTTCCAGTTTATTTGCCAATCTATACATATCAAGAACATTAACTACAAAGGTCTTAATTGCTGATTTGTATTTCTCATTGTTTCTCGTGGAAAGGCTACACAACACACTAAGTTATCACGGACTTCTTTTTGTCCAAAATGCACATCTTTCAAAATGACTTAGGACAATGAAGAGGTTTATTTTAATTGATGATTAGTTAAGAAATTGTTTGCTTATTATAACTGAAGGTGGAAGATGATACAGGGGATTTGAAATGTAGCTTGTTACTCATCACAGATGCTCCCTTTAATTATTTAGGAACAGTTTTGTGAAGAGACATGTGTAAATTAATTGCAAGAAAACCCAAAAGAGATCAGAAAAGAAACCAGTTTATCTGGCCTCTGAGGATGAAAAAGTGAGCATTGCACCTGAAATTAAATTACCTTGTTATTAGAAACTGTCTTCAGTCTAAATCTATATCAGAAAACACCTGCATTTTCAAACTATTTTAACTTGAGGCTTGAGATCATGTCTCCTAATTATCTGAAAAGCAAATGGAGCTTAATTATGTTTTATTTAATGTGTTACAACTGAAATCATGCTAATATTATTCACAAAATCAGTCACAGTTTGCCTACAGTTTCCCATACCTCTTCTTTACCTTCATACAGGAAGCCAAAGAGAGTAAAATGTATACATCAGCCTGCTTTACAGCCATAAAATCTTCCCAATGTCATTATTTGTATGAATGACAAGAATACTTTTTTCTTTAGTTGACAAGATAGTTGTGTTACTAGTCTAGACTAAGTATTAGGGAAATTAAAATAAGAAAAAGTTCCACCATCTTCCCTATTATAATAATAGAAAATGAAAAATACAGCTTCACTGATATGATGGAAATAGTCATGCACTCACATCAGTTGCTTGTGGTAGAAAATTAACTAGGAAATTGCAATCACATTATTTAATTGCACTTCAGGAATTACTGCAGGCTCTTCAGCAATTCAACTATTTTTATATAATGCTTTTTGTGATACTTATGCAATTAACAGTTCACGCACATTCACAGAAAAACTAGATATGATTATTTTGTTGTTGCAAAAGTGAATGCATTTTTATCAAAGAATGAAATGTAAGAATGAAATTTGTCTTCATCTTTTTCTATGTTAGCACACAGTATGCAGTCACACAAGCATTTCAGAGTAACTGTAGTATTTTATGGTGTTGCTGCCATTTACTCTTTCCTTACACCTCCATAATGGAGGCTTCACTGGGCTCTGCATACTCACATGAGACTCTGCTGTTGTTCAGTTTACTGGGATGTAAACATTTTAGTTCAGCAACTTAACATTTAGTTTAACAGCAACAAAACCGGTACAGCCACCTATTTCTGAAGCCTGCATCACCAGACACAGCCACAAGACCAAACACCTAATGTCTTTCTTAGACAACATTGATTCAAATTCCAGATAGATAATATGTGTGTGTTGACAGTAGGAATAATTAAAACCCACAGAAAGCTATTAAGAATATTCAAGTTCAAAAGCTAGATGATAAAAAATAAAATGTATGTATTCAGCAACAACAGCAGAACATGTCAATACTCATGGCACAAGACATAAGTTGGTTCAAACGTCAGATTTACACAGTAAGAAAGAATCTAATGAGTAAAAAGGCATAATGGTGGAATTTAAGATTTCAGATTTAGATAAAAACATGAATGATTTAACTTAAATATTTTAGTTTGAAGTACTAATTCGAAGTGTGCCTAGATTTGAAAAAAGCCTTCTGAAGCCATCTTAAGAGAAAACATTTGGGGTTTTTTTTAAGAAACAAAAATGTTTAACTGTAAATAAAACAGACAGTACTGACAGAACAGCTACAGTGACTGTTGAATATGTAAGAACAGCCAATCTATGCAAAGGATATGGAAAATTGAGGAAGAAAAATTCATGTATACACAACTAGCCAGAGACAGGGAGGGCAATGAATTTATCATAATGTTTAAATAACAAAGGAGTGAAAAGATAATGTGGGGGTTTTTTTCCTCATTTATTTCTTTTGAACATTAAGACTTCATAAAGATTTTCAAGGTATTCTTGTAGACCTGTCCAAGCTTATAAACTATCAGTACATACAGCCAGGGTAAGAGATTTCCTTTACTTATAAATCGTGCCTGCACAAAGTCAGTCATTAGTGTGACTGCTAATGAGTAGATGCCTTCTGAGATCAAGCTTCAGCTATTTGTACCAGCTTTGCACAAGACTGCAGTATTTAGGAATTTACCTTTCAGTGACTGTATTCATGTTAGAATAGAAGATTTTGTTACTATGCATACTGACCCACTTCTGGCAAACATATTAAGGGCTACATTCTGCAACTCATTGTAAGTTGCTATTCAGAAGGTGCCTGATCTAAAGTTCCCTGCAGTTGAAGAAGCACTCCTGCTGACTTCATTCACTTTTGACAAGGTTAATTGGCTACCTACTACATGTAATGTGAACAGAAGCAGCAGAACCTATGGCACAGTAGGGTCAGACAGAACAAACTGATTTGTCATTAACATATTTGATGCAGAAATACACTTACTTAAGTCTGAGATATAAATCGTGATCAGGTCCATTCTCCTGCTAAAATGCAAGTCTCTCATATGATTAAAATTTAGGTGAGTGCTTGTATGTATCAATACCAAAATTCAGATCTAGGTAGATTTAAACCCAAAAATTCAGTCTGATAAACTCAGCAGTACTGGGAAAAACAGCAACTCAAAATAAAACTAAATTAACTTCATGGAACAAAACTAGAAACTATTAGGTACGAAGTTCACAGCGGATGCAGAATATAATTTGATGGAGTTATGTTAAAACCCCATCTTGAACTCTTGAGAGGAACAACGATCCTTTTACATTACCTCCACTGAAATCTCCTTTGGTGCCATGGGCCACTTGTGCTCATACTTTTCTTTCACAGTTTGTTCACTGTTCGCAGTTGGTGTTGAGTTCTCAGGCCGTACTCCATGGCTTGTTTTGCCCACCAGATTTTGAACTGATTTTACCATATTCTTTAAATCCTCCGGGTATGGAGTGGGATAACGTTTTAGATTTATTTCAACCTGAACATTCATAAAAAGAATTAAAGCACAAATACAAAATGAAAACAGCATGCAAACTAAAACCATGGTTACAGTACTATGGCTAAGTGCAAATTCCTCAAATTTTTAATTAATCTGTTTGAGGCAATATGTTACATATAGCTAACTTCATGGATTTTTGGACTGAAATTTGCTCTCAGTTACACTATGTCAACCTATAATGGAATTTCAGTGATATAAAATAATGGATGGGAATGGTTCCCTATAAGCCTATCTGTTACCCTGTGAGAGTATTGTATTTTAATTCTACATTTTGCTTGAGAGTACTGACATATTAAATCATGCTTTTTCAAAACAATACTGGCGTAAATGCAGAATTAATTTAGCTGTGTTCAGTGTACTGAATTAATCTGAATTATCTATGGAAGCTGAGAACAGAATCTGACCTACTGGGAGCTATCTGCTCTTTGAGATGTATAATGTATGTACATGCACTCAAGTGTATTTTACTCTTTTCTCACACAGAAAATACAGGAAAACAGGCTCAAACCACTACAGAAAAGTCACCCTAAGTCACACTGAATAGTATTTTAACTGACTGACAGACCTACAGATTTTCTAGAAAACTCCACATTTTTAAGTTTATAATTTTTATCACTCAGAAGTAGAGAAACATTGTATTTCCCAAGTCCAAAGCAATCCTAATTTGAAGACAAGTCTACAAAATCTCAGGGTTGAGTGAAAGGGGAAGAGTGGCTGAGAAGGCTCATGGATGACACCACGCCCTGTCATCTGGCAAGACATTACACTATCAGCAAATTGCTCTGAGGAGATGGTGCGGCAAATGACCACGCCAGGAATGATCCAAGCAGGAAGGACAACATACATGATGCTAACCTCTCCTTATACCTCTCCCACTGTGTTAGAGACATATTTTGTCTGCTGAACATCACACCACATCATGAGAAGAGATGTTGAGGAAACAGAAGTGTGTATCCGAACAATGCATGACCTCGGCAGGGCTGCTTGGGCTGAGCAGAGAGTGTGGGTAGCTTGTAGGTCTGTCCCTTGAGCCTAGCCTGAGGCAGATGCTTTCTTCTCAGCACAGGGCCCTCTCCTCCACAGAGCATCCCCTGCCCTCCCCACTCCATCCTTCATGCTGCAAACCTGCCCTATGTCCACTGCCTTTGTCTGACCTGTGAAAGATGGTTGTGGCTTAAGCACCAAACTCAGGGTTCACAAGGTGAACCAGAGAGCACACTGTGGAGCGGCAAGCCCACTGCTGAGTGCATGTAACAGCCACCAAATGCAGTCAGCAGAAATGCAGAAGGTGCTGGCTGAGCCTGCCACTCTCTTTGGGCCTGAATGTGGGGCTGAAATGCAATAAAAACCTTCAATGGAGTAAAATTACAGCTCCCAGTGCAAGCTGTGTGTGTCAGGATAACTGTTCCCGGTTATGAGGCTGTGAAATTTGAAATTACTCCACATTTACCGTGTGATAAGTATTTGGAAGCATTTACCACAAAGAAGCTTTTAGCTCATTGTGTACGTGAGGTAAGCAAAGGGAGCTTACTTTTAATAGCTCGCTATTATAGCTGTTGGATTTTAAATTCCTAACAAGCAGGAAAAATATAATTTTGGATTGAAATGAATATGACCTGTTGATAGGATTATTTTAGAAGCAAAAGCATGATCGATTTGGAAAGTAAAACTATATGAAACACTAGCATACAATTCTGAACCACAATAGAATAAACATTACGGATAATAGATTCTGACATGACTTTAACATAAAATGTTAAAATGTATGACTATGATGTCATATGTCAATAAAGAATTTCAACAGAAAAAATAAATTAAGTCTGTAAAGCATTACTCAAGCTCTGGTTGATTTATGGTTGAAAGAAATCATATTCTAGACATGGCCTAATTAGGCAATTGCTTTTTCACACAGTGCAGACCATGATTTAAGTGTAAGGTCTACAGACAAACAGAGCTAAAAGTCAAGTCATAGAGCAAATCCTCAATAAGTACTAGTCAAGGAAAAATTAACTGAAAGACTTTCATGAGATAGACAAGTCATAAACAGGGATTTCAGCAAGAGTTTCCTATCACTGTGAGTATTAATATTAAACAGTAGAAATACTGGCGGCTGTGCTAGGTGATATCCACTAGAATGCAGATATTTTCATCACTGATTTAGATGTATCATTACAGAGGAAATCTGTACTCCCTGTCAATACAATTCTTGTATGTTTAATGCTACATCAAAAGTAGCACGACCCTGAAAAGAGAATTTTCCTGATGGAAGAAGTTGTTGAACAATTTCAATTACCAAATCTATTTTAACATATAGTTGGCTGAGAGTTCAGTTTTAACTATGAAAGATAAAAAGCGAAAACTATGTATGCATTTATAAAACACTACTAATGTTTGTGGTTACTGCCTATTGATAATTTATTCATCCCATAAAGGTCTGGTGAAACTGCTAAAAACACACATGTTAAAACCTCCCTAAGACCTATTGCAACACATGGATGGAATGACACACACTAAGTTGTTAAAAGGTTCCAGCAATTAGCTTTTAGTTCATGTGCATGCATCTAAACACAGGCTGGTGAATAGTTCAGTCAAATAACTCTTTACAAGACTTTTATGGTCATTCATATACAGAGATGAATTGGCATTACTGGGAAAGAGCACGGACATACCAGAAGGATGCAAATAAGCATTTCTATCTTATTAATAGTAATTGAATTTGAACTCATTCTTTCATGGCTTGGGCAAAAAGGCTGTTTTCCATGACAGGGAAAAACCACACACACACCTTCAGCAGGGAAACTTTGCTTTCATAGCCA